AAGATAACATTAGGATTGAGGTTATCGTGTGGGGTAACCGTTACTTGTGCTATAAATTTAAGATTATTTACTCTTTTGAAGTGTTGAATTTGATTACAAGTTGGTAATTGATTTTGTATTCTAATTGTCGTATAGTCACAGTGTGAGATTGCATTATGTGAGAATTTGAATTTTTGTTGATATGATTTCGTGTTGCATTGATTGTTCTCTTAGAACACCTAGACTTGAACTGTTTGAACACCCCCTTTATATTGAGATCTCGAGTCTCAGAAAATCCTGAAAATCTAGAACAGTGTATAATGAGGACTTAGGATTACTTTCTTTAGTTGTTCTATTTTTTCAAAATGTCTTCACATTTTGAAGTTGTAAATTTTCAATGGAAAATGAAAATTTTCAATTTGGCAACAAAACGTGAAAAGGATTTTGGTTTAATAAAAAGTTTCAAAAACCATAGACAGCAAATTTTCTGCAAATTTGATAGAAACACAAAAAAAAAAATATGATGAACTTATTTACACTTCAATTATTTTATACCTATTTGACACTGTTTTGAGAAAAATTGAAAAACTTAGTTCTACAAAAGAACTTTAATAAAAGTTTGAGGATTTATATTTGCTTAAATCTACTTCGAATAAGTTGTACATGCTTGAAAGATTTTTCAATTTTGAAATGGATCATTCAAAGGATCTTGATTACAATTTGGATGTTTTTAACAAGCTTATTTAAGATAATGTTAGCTGTGATTAGAAGGTATCTAAAACGTATAAGGTCATTACTTTGCTTAATTCAATGTCTAATTTATACAGAGAGGTTAAGAATGCGATTAAATATGGTTGGGCACCTTAACACTCAAGATTGTCGTAGATTCCTTTAAGAATAAGGAGATTGAGATTAAGGTTGAAAAAGAAGATAGGAGGAGTGGCAAGTTACATATGATGAGGAGTAGTATGAAGTTTAAACAAATAAATTTGGGTAGAACCCAAGACAATAATGATTCGAGTAGTGATTGAGTGATGAAAATGGTAAGAAGAAGGGCAATGGATGGGACAAGTCTCATGGTAACCGAAGTTACAGTTGTGGTAAGGCTAGATACTTTGTAAGGGACTGTCCCAAGAAAAAAGATAAGTAGAATGATAAGATGAGAGATGAGGTGAATGTAGCTATAGGGTTTAGTGATGATCCTAGTGAGATTTATTGAGAGTAAACCTAGTTATTGCATGTGTACCTATGCGTTATCCATTTTGTATATTTGATTGCTAAATTCTGTTACATGATTAAATGTTGTATTTGATTTTATTTGAGTATGTACATTTGCATGAATTTGAGAGGTATCTGATTACTTGGTATAATTGTTTGCATGCATAGTAGGTTGAGATGTATTAGCAGTAAGTGTGTTGAGTATCTTTTAGTAAGATGGAGTATAAATGCCCAGGGTACATTGGTGGTATGTACCGGGAATTTGGAGTATAATATTTGGATCATGAGTAGATATGTGATTAAATATTGAAATCCTTTATCTGTAAAGACCCTGATCGGGTGGAGTGTGAGTGATGGAGTATGGTATTTGGATCATAAGTGAAAATGTGATTAAATATTGGAATCATTTATTTGTAAAGACCCTGATTAGGTGGAGTGTGAGGGAGACGCTTCTATCGTTTTTGTTAGGTAAAGACCCATTATCCACTTAGATCAAGAGAAGTGATGTGGTTATATAGGATTATCCCATGAACTTAGGAATTATTGTGCTTTACCAGTTAGAAATAAGTAGACTGATCAGTCTAGTGAGCATAGTGGACGATGAGAGACGATATATGTTCTCGAAGTGTGAGCAGCACGAAATAGGATAGGATAAGTAGCAGTGACATCTTTTCATGGTGTCATTTATGCATTTGTTGCATATGTGTTGACACCTATTGATTAACTTAATGTGAACGTGTTTTGAAAAGATGTGTGTGTTATCCTATTTTATATCCTCATCGCATGTTTATTTGCTCTTGATTGTTCAATATAATTATCTATTTCTACTTGAGTATTTGTTTGTGACTTTAGCCCTGGTGAGTACGTGGAGCAGGTATGGTTTGTGTTTTGGGTTTGAAACATAAGGTAAAGTTTGTGATCCCAATTTTATTGGTTATGTAAGTACTAACTATTTATTGCTTGCAGGTAGATTGGGTATTAATGTGGAGATTTATTAAATTTCTGATATCCAATGAATTACGAGCTATGATGTAAATATTGGAATATAATTTCACATGCCTCGGCTAATGGTGAATAGATTACCAATAACCAAATCCAAAGGCTTGACCTGAAAACAACATGGATCATTGGAAATAGCTTAAGAAATTATTGCTGCTCACGACCATATATTATTACCTCTTAAATGACTTTGAATCTTGGGGGCATTTAAACTTTTATTAGTCCAACTAAAGATTAACCTAGCCTATATATATGGTTTCCTTGCGCTAGCCATTTAGTGTGTTATTTGTGTATGAAAGAGTGAGAAAAAATGTGACCCTTAGGAAAAGAAAAAATGTGGCAGCAATAGTGAAGAAAAATCCGACGATTTCCTATTTTATTTTGGTTTCCATCATGTGTTCATTGTTTTTCTCGTGCCTTTATGGTTACAAATCATCACCATTATCTTGTCTTTTGTGGGTAAGATTAAAGAGCAACCGATGTGAATATATTGATTGTGGGTTAGAGCTGTTTGGATTGATTATTTGGAAGAGAAAAGTAACGTGAAACTGATCCTTAGAGTGAGTTTCCACGACAAAAAAGGAAAAATAAATATACATCTTATTTGCCCAAAAAAAAAAATCAATGTTTAATCACACGACATTTGGAAAATCGAAAAAATTTGTGGGACTGAAGATTTTAAGTATTGGTATAACCTAAAGAAATAAGTAGTCTATTCATTTGATGTCTTACGCTCTTGATTTTGTGGTGCAATGCGGTGGTTGACATGTTTAGATTTATCGTGTATAATGGCGCTTAATATAATTTGCTCAGTTATTTCAGTGGTGTGGTTTAACTTAAATTGAAGGAATACGATTGATAGCACGAAGGCAAGTAATTTGATGCTCCAATGGTGTGATAGTGGGAGTGGTGGTGAATTGGTGGGCTTTGGCGGGAAGTGGATGGCGGTTACTAAAGGGATAGTGGCGGTCGTTATTTGAGACTCGTTTGCACCTTTTTAAAAAAGAATTGGAAGAAAATAGAAGAAAATGAATCTTTCACACCTCAAAAGTCATGGATAATATTACTTGTACACCTCAAGGTGAGAAAGGTGTAAACCCGAACGTACATCATTATGTACGTATAATATCACTCCAAAAGTCATGTAGGAGAAATTTTAGCCAATTTTAAAAAATATGAGATATTTGATAATAGGTCCATACGATGGGGGAATTGTGCTAATAAATCAAAAAAAAAATCTGTATAGCTTAAGAAAAATTTTAAAAATAATGCAAGTGTACTCCTCTGCCCCTGCTTCGACGGTGTCCATGTTGAAATATGCCTCCACACACACCTTGTTTCTCATGCTATAATCACTCCTCCAAACATGACTTATCTCCCTTTTTTTTTTTTTTACCAAATTCTAACTCATGCACTATTTTATTAAATAAGTTCTGGAGAGACTTAAAGTCAAGATATTTGATTGCTTTGATACCATGTTAATAACATTACAAACATAATTAATTTATGAAGTTGCACATGGAGAACTAATATGAACCATATGCCATGACCTTTTTTAACGAAGAATAATATAATTCAGAAAACACTTACGGCCTGTTTGATAGACTCCATTTTCTACCCAAATGATATCTTTGATGAGCAAAATTCTGCATAGAACTGATTTTCCACCCATCCCCGTGACCCCTTTTTTAGGTTTTTAAGGAATTGATTTTTCTTTGGCTTTGATGAAAATTGGTTTTCCAACTTCTCTCTCTCTCTCTCTCTCTCTCTCTCTCACACACACAAATTCTATTATCAATTGTAACAACTTTTATCTCTTTGATTGACAATTTCTATGAGAAACAAAGCCAAAGGAACACCAAAAAATAGAAAATTTCAACATTTTTCATGTAAAAAATTATACTAATCAAATGTATTTAATTGACAATTCTCAATAAAACAAGTTCTAAACAATTCAATTCCCTAAAATTCGTTTCTTTTCACTCAAATTCCATTCTTTCAATCAAACGAATCCTTAGCGCCAAACTGTAGAGCTCACTTAAAACTATACTAACTCGTATTTAGTCTCTATTTGATTTTACAAAAATTAGATTTTTAATAAATGTAATAATAATTTATTAAATATCAGATTGAAAAAATGATAAAAATTGTAAACTCCATAAAATGCATTAATGAAGATGAATTTGAAGATATTGAGTTTTAAAAAGTGAGAGCAAAACAGCAACTTAGGTTTTATCTGCCCTTAAATGCTCGTAGAACAAGTAAGCCTATTAACAAGAGAGAGAACCAGAATATACCTAGGATTCTGTTCATCATAGCTAGGAATTCATGGTTTCCATCAAATTTGAGACCACAGTAGCAAAAAGCATCTTAATCATATTGTCTTAACTTACTAATTGGCATGACTTTCAAAAGATCAAAAATTGCTTTTAAGAAAGCTACTTTTTGACATGTTCAGATACTAGTTGAAGAACTTTCTATGCTAAGCTTTCAGGCAAATTTGTCAAAAAACCTCTTCCACAAAAGTAGAAACAAAAACAGAATCATAATCCATCCCAACCAGATCCTTCGACAAACTAGTACCACAGGCATGTCATTCTACTCACTTTCCTTGGACAAAGGGCATAATGGCAAAACTTCTGCACATCATCCCAACTACGAAGAAAATATAAGCAACAACTTTTGGAAAGCTACAAATTCCTTTCAAAAGGATAAAATTAACAGCAACTGAATGATTTAAAACGCTTTTCAGCTTCATTTTGTTTAAATGGAATGAAACTAAGCTATTAATTTAAGCAATGAAAGATAATAAGAACTGGAATATCGAACAACCATAAATTATGTAATACCAACTCGACACACAAATGAGCTAAATATAAAACTACAAAAGGTAGAATTTCAATAGTCGAGAACTTTGAAGTCAGAAACATCATGACAAAGCTCACATGGTTGGCAAACAAAAATTGTTTAAGATTACTCAAAGGACACTCTTCAATACATAATTAATTAATCTATCAAGATGCAACAACTGCAATTCGTCCGGCTACTTGGTCCAGGTCCCGTCGGCCACTGGATGTGATCATTCTCCCACTAAAAGACAAAGAACAATAAAAATGAGAAAATTAAGCAGATATTTACTGGTGCATAAAATCTTGGAAAAGAGTTATTCGCCATTATGGTTAGCAGAGAAATAGGCATCAGATTTATTATACAAGTAACAGGTCCATTGGCAAAACTTACTGATAAAATATCAGCGTCAGCTAATTGTACTATGTAATTCATGTCAAGGGAAACCTAGTTAATAAATTCTGTAAGATCTAAATCTATTATCCCATCTATTACTTTATCAAATTGAATATTAAAGTAAAACTTACTGATAAAATATCAGCGTCAGCTACTTGTAGTATGTACTTCATGTCAAGGGAAACCTAGCTAATAAATTTGTAAGATCTAAATCCATTATCCCATCTATTACTTTATCAAATTGAATAATAAGGTAAAACTTACTGATAAAATATTAGGGTCAGCAGAGCATATCTCGAGTATGTACAGGTTCACGTCAAGGGAAACCAAGCTAATCAATCGTGTAAGATCTAAATCTATTATCCCCTTTCTTTTACTGCATTAAATTGAAATTAAACTAAAACTTACTGATGAAATATCAGGGTCAGTAGTATCTCATTTAGGTAAAGGTTCATGTCTAGGGAAACCTAGCTATTAAATTCCATAATATCTAAAACTATAGTCCATTTCAAGCATTCACAAACTCACCCTCTTGGATCCATCTCAATGATGCTCATCTCCTGCAACTGTTGAAGAATGTGACGAGCAACAGATCCACTGCTTTTGCAGAAATGGGGAGGGCGACTTCCATTCCTCTTGCTCCCACCATAAATTCTCCGAAAGGCACCCACACCAATACCACCCCTCAAATATATTTTCCTTGCCATGGAGGCTGCAACATATGATAAAAGATGCAAGATAAAAATTTGGCACAACAATAATACTGTCAGATAAATACACCAATCAAGAGATTATTGTATTGAATAGTAGGTGAATTTTGTTGGAAGATGAAATCTCAGTAATATCATCTATCAGTTTGATTTGAATTTGAAGAGTTCCGACGTTGACAAATATTCACTTGATTTGTAAAGGCATCCAGAGTAAAAATAGTCATTCCATTGCAACTTCAAACCCCTAATTATCTCCGTTTCTCAATTGCAAGGACAATCCATAAACAAAAGAACATGAGCAAATGCCATGGACTTGTATATAGTTATGGGAGAATTCAAATCATCGATCTTCAACCATAAAAGGAGAAAATCATCGAGTTCTCGAGGGATGTGACTAGCGTGCAATTAAAAAATGACACGTCCACTTTCGAATACTTTAGAATTGTTATCCCTTGTCCCTTATACTACAAAGGATTTGTGATTTCAATTTATTGAAATTATGAATAAATATTTTTGTTTATAGGTGGCATTGGCAATGGCCTTTTTTCTCATTTCCTTTGTATTCGACACGTTGCAAAGCATCAAATTCACAAAACATTTGTTTTATTCATTATGAGTACAATACATACATATATACAAACAGAAATCGACAAAATAACTTTCCAATTAGAATCAAACTTCAAAACGATACCTAATAAAACAAACTGTCCAATGTCACATGTTCTTACAAATTGTTAATTCTCCAGTATTAAAGAAGAATAAAAATAAAATTTATTTATTTATTCATAGTGATCTACTCTTTCTAATAATGTATGTCAAATGGAAATTGAAGTGATTGTGATTGGACATCTCGATTTTTGGAAGGTTAATTAGCAGACACGATAAGATTTGTATTATGGGATCATCTTTAATTTTAAGTTTGAGGATTATAATGATGTTTTTATGATCAGTTTGCCATTTTAGAAAAGATCTTGGGTCTGTTTGATTGGAGTGAACTTCAAAAAAAATATCACATCCGAAAAATTCGTTTTCTACTTTAACTGTTTGATACGAAAATGGAGTTCGAATTTCAAAATACAAATACTTAAAACATGTTTTTTGTCAATTCCATGGAAAATGCATTCTTATAGTTTTGGTGGTTTATTTTCTTTTCCAACTTATATGGAATTGATTTGTCATTTCCATATTTGCAATCAAACAGATCCTTATTTTTTAAAGCCTTGTTCGACCCACATTCTTTAAAAAATATATATTCTTAAGCAGTGATTTGACCTCATTTCAACTACATATTCTTGAATAAAATAATATTACATGCAAATTCAAAATTTTATTTTATTTTTTAACCACACATTTCTCATCAATATACTATTCAAAAATGTATTTTTTTTTTCTAAAATAATGTGACTCAAACAAGTGCTAAATTGATTAATATCCTGTTAATCAATTAAATCATTTCACAACATAATTAATATGTTATAAAACTCTTCAAAACCCCAAACCTTTGAACAGATGCACATGCAGAAACCCCAAACCAAAATCTCACCATTGATCTATTTGTTGAGTTAGGTGACTCAAATTAGGAGATCTTGTTTGATTAGCATTGGAAAAATCCTCGTTTGGTAAGAAGATCTCGGTTGATGACGCATTGGAGTTCTGGCTTGGAAGGAAGATTACTCGGTATCCAAGTTTGAAAAGAAAACAAATTCAAGAAGAAAAGAAAATCTGGTTTTCTCGGTACCATGTGGCCGCAAGGTGGCCACCCGAAACTAGAGCAGGTGCTCCAGTTGCTCCATGCAGTCGCATGGATTATAACCATGTGATCGCATGGTTATATTTCGGGGGTGTCGGCGCAATTTTTTTCTTTACGCGTTTTTCACCTAGTTTCCATCTTTAATCATATATCTAGAGTTTTGTACGTGAACTATAAATATGAGGCTCCCTCTTTCAGTATGTATGAAGCCAATTGCTGTAATTCTCTCATTTCAAAGTGAATTAATAAAACATCGTTCCTTCTGCCAGTTCTTCTTTTATTTTCTTTACTTTAATTTTGTTAAGTGATATTTTGTGATCTTGTTAATTATTTCAAGTGGTATTCATTAAATCTCAATTCCTGCATTATTGGTCATCGGTCCCAACACTTTTTGAGTTCAACATCAATCTTTGACCTATATTCCTTATGAAATGATCTCGTTCCCATGGCTTTTTTCCTTCTACTCAATGGATGAGATGATTCTCCAAGAAGCGCTCCTGGCACCAGTCACATTCTTGTGGGCTACAGAAAGGAGATTTCATTCTTCTAGAGTCAGCTCCTCAGTATCAGCACTATTTGCAACCTTTTCCATAAATTCAACAATCTCTTTGTACCGCTCAGCTTGTTCAGCTAGCTTGGCCATGTCCACATTTTCCTCTCGCGACATGTTCTTTTTTGCTGTAAATATATTGAAATTTGAACAAATTTAAAATCGCCCAACTTTACCAGCAAAATAATTAGTAATATGTGCTTCTGTGACGGGATGCATAAAATTATTACCATCTTCATCAAGTTTATGTTTGGAAGCTTTTGCTGTGAGGGTAGATGATGTTGATTTAGCAACTGAATCGGGGTCGATGCTAGACAGGGTTATCGCTGGTTGTCCTCGGTGCCTTCATTTGCTCTTCGTTGCTCTTGTTTGCCATTGAGATTCTCATGCAGTAAATATACATGTCATGTTAGATTGAGAAGCTAAAACTAATGAAAGAAACAAAAAAAATATAATGAAGAATAATCTCTATTTTGATTGTAAAATGGTGGCAAAAGTAGTGATAATTATTGTATTACTTAATTTTAATTGTTTATCTTTGTTCTAGTGTTTTTCTTAACCTTTGGTTTGGAAAGGAAGGGTTAAGGTGAGAACCATGGCGAAGTCTGTATTGCCTACAACGTTGCTTATAATCAAATTAGTAAATTCTTCTGAATTTTCTGTAATACATACTGCTGCAATGAAAGTGTTTCATTCTGTTATTCCTATGTGCATGTTGAGGTCTAAATTTGGCTAGTCAGGTGTATTTTAAATGCACATGGCAAACTTATAATATTCTGCCCTTTCTTTTGTGTTTGGTGCAATTTAACTTTATGTGTTACAATTTCTTTCTTTCTTTTTTTTTATTTTTTATTTTTCATTTATTTATTTTTATTTCTATCACTTTTTTGAATTTTTAATCTTCTCTTTTTTTGAATTTATGTCACTTTTTTGAATTTGTCACTTTTTTTTGAGTTTGTCTCTTTTTTTTTTTTTTAATTTTATCATTTTTTGAGTATTTGATACTTTTCATTATCTGTGTAACTTTTTTTTAATTTCTATCACTTTATTGAATTCATCACTTGTTTTTTTTTTTAATTTCTGTCACTTTTTTGAATTTTTGTCATTTTTTTAAGTGTTTGTTTTGTTTTTTCAATCACTTTCTTGATTTCTATCTCTTTTTTAATGACAAACATCATTTTTTTAATAAAAGTGACTTTGTATGTTATTTATAATAAAAATTATTAAAAAAAGATGACATAGTGACACAATTTTTATAATAAAAAAAATGTATTACACAGTATTTTTTTACTTTCAAAAAACTTTTCATATGATTTTTGAAAAAACCCCTCATTTTAAGGGTATATTTGTGAGTTGCCCAAAGAAATTGAACAGATTTTCAGCCCATATTTGGTTCCACTTTTTAAAATGTGGAAATTACACCCACCCGAGCAATTCAATTTCACAATTCAAAAATAAAATTTACAAGTTTTTCATTCAAAATTCAAATTATAAATAATTATATTCTTTAATATTAATAATATTATAAAATGAAATAAATCGACTGTGAGACTAAAATCCAACAATACCCAAGTGATACCGGGCTCAGTTTCCACCAAAAGTCGACACCACCATTGTTGAGACACACCCAAATCTCTCTTTTCTTCTTCCCACGTATGGTTGCTACTCATACCCACAAAGAGTCGGCCAAGATGAGATCAATATAGTCCAAGAGAAACCACACAGGTTGGTTGAGAGAAAGAGGCCAAGACTTAGCCAAGAAGGACTCACAGAGAGAAATAAAGAAGACGATCATATCCAAGAGTTATAGCCCAAAGGTGTGACCATATATGGTAAGTTAGGGTAGGTTAACTTAGTGGTCCAAAAGAGGCTTAACACAAAATGTATTGGGCTCCAAATGAATATCGTAGCCATCCAAGTAAATGGGACGGGCCATGAGCAACATTATTAAAATAGGTTGCTTCTAATGGCCCGTAGAAAATTAGATTGGGTTGTCTCAATGGTAGTGTCGACATAAGTTCAATCATATGGCCAAAACCGAGTGATAATAAATAAAATTGAGGTCACATCATTGCCCGGGAGGTCGTTTGATAACAAATTACCTAGCAACCTCTACCTTGTTGTCAAATGACCTGCAAAACAAAATGTCTTCCATTAGTGACACATCTAACAGGAAACCAATAAAATTGAAAATCATTTACCTGTACCGATTAGAAGGTCCTTGCAACTTCTAAACTTTGCCAGTGGCAATAACTTCGTCCCCATATCAGAAGGGTTGTAGTGGGTGTGGACCTTTTCAAGTCTTACCACCTCTTGAGATACTATATCTCTAATGAAGTGGAGTCTAACATTAATGTGTTTAATGCGCTCGTGAAAAATGGGGTTCTTGCACAAATGTATAGATGACTGACTATTATAATACACTACCACATATTCATTTAAGACATAATTCATGAAGTAAACCTCTAAGCCATAAGGCTTCTTTAATTGCTTCAGAAGAAGCAATATACTCATATTCAGTGGTAGATAGTGCAACAATATGTTGTAATTGTGATTTCCAACTAACACATGAATTTGATAGGGTAAACACGTAAGAGGAAGTCGATTTCCTCCCATCCATATCTCCCACATAATCAGCATCTACAAAACCCTTCAATTTTACACCTTCCTTATTGGCACTGAACTTTAGACCTACGTCACCCGTACCTTTCAAGTACCTTAATAACCACTTTAATGCTTCCCAATGTTCAGGGCCTGGATTAGCCATGTATCTACTGAGAATACTAACAGCAAAACCTAAATCCGATCTAGTGCAATCAAATACATTATGGAACCAATCACATTAGAGTAAGGTACTCTACCCATATATTCTATTTCACGCTCATTGTAAGGGGATTGTTCCTTAATAAAACAAAATGATTAGCAAGAGGCAACGTGATAGGTTTGTAATCACTCATATTAAATTTCTTCAATACTTTGGATATGTATGGAGACTGATGCGAAAACAAAATGGAATTTGACCTATCTCTTTCTATTTTCATACCTAGGATTTTTTTAGCCCTACCTAGGTCTTTCATGTCAAATTCACCACTTAGTTTTACTTTTATGCTATTTATCCACTTAGAGGATGATCCAATCAAAAGCATGTCATCCACATAGAGCAACAAAAACAGATAATTATCGTCAGTCTCATTATGTTGAAAATACAGGTAGTGATCAAATTTACTTCTTTGGAACCCTATAGTGAGTACAAAGGAATCAAATCTCTTGTACCATTGTCTAGGAGATTGTTTTAACACATACAAGGATCTTCTCAGAAACACACATAATTAGATTTTGACTTATTCTTAAAACATTTTGGTTGATTCATGAAGATTTGTTCATCAACTTAAATCAAGTTGTCCAAATTCTCAGTCAAAGTGTGCAACCAATGCGAGCATGACCCTAATAGTGGTGTACTTAACAACTGGTGAAAAAATATCATTATAATCAACGCCCTCCTTCTGTGTGTAGCCTTTAGCTACTAACCTAGCTTTAAACCTTAATGGTTCCGAGCTGCTAGTACCTTCTTTAACCTTAAGGACTCATTTGCAATCAACAATCGATTTGTTCTTAGGCCTAGGTACTAGCTCTCAGGTATAATTCTTTTCTAGAGAACTCATCTCTTCTTTCATTGTCTTAAACCATTCATTAGGTTGATCACTGCCTATTGCCTCTCAAAGGTTTTTGACTCTTTATCAGCTAGTTCTTCATAACTAGCCGAGGCAAAAGCTAATTCAGATTCAAAACCAAACCTTCTAGGTTCTCTCGTTTGTCTCCTCTCTCTATCCCTAACTAAGTTGTAGTTAGCTAAATGATTTTCTTCCTCATAGTGCTCTTCTATCACTACTTCGTTACTATTCTCCACCTCAGGTTCCTGAACTTGAATCTCCACCTAATTAGGAGCAATAGGGGCAGGTGTACTGAGCTTTACTAACTCCACCTTAAATGGGTCTCTCTCTTCACCTAGTTCAATTTCATTCTCAGGTTCAGTTTTCCCTTTAATACACAGCATCTCATTCTCGTTAAACGTGACATCCCTACTTATGATGATCTTAACCCCTTTTAAGCTTCTATCCCATAAACTATATCCCTTAATACCCTCGGGGTATTCTAGAAAGACACACTTTCTAACTCTTGGTTCCAGCTTACCCTCACTTTGATGAGAAAAAGCTATACAGCCAAAGTTCTAAGCATCGAGTAATCACTCAGTTTACCCGACCATCTCTCATGCGGAGTGTCACCATTCAATACAGCAAAAGGAGTCATGTTAATAAAAAAAAAAAGCAGTCATAACAGCCTCACCCCAAAATGACTTAGGAACACCAGAACTTATCATCACGCAACGTACTTTATCAAGTATGATCCTATTCATCCTTTTTGCTACCCCATTTTGCTGAGAAGTGTAAGGAACGGTCTTATGTCTAGTTATGCCGCTTTCTTTACACAGACTATCAAATTCCT